CTATCTATCTATCTATCTATCTATCTATCTATCTATCTATCTATCTATCTATCTATCTATCTATCTATCTATCTATCTATCTATCTATCTATCTTTTGTAATTTGATAAATACTTTTCTTTTACTTCACTATGTGTAGATGCTATTTATACACTCAAATATACAGGGGGGAATCTATTTGTTAAACGGTGGAGGTATCTAGCTGTCTTTGTTAAGCACAAACAAATGGTGTGTTAGTTTTTTCCAAACATTTATATGCAATTCTAAAAATGCAGGTATCCTCTTAATGTAAGCAAATATTTTCAGGTGCATAATTTACAAAACAAATCTGCGTATAAATATATGCCAATATATCAAAACTAGGATTACTCAATGCCTATCAGCGTTAACAATGACGTCATTCACCTGTTTTCAGTCATTTTGACTGTATCCGTAAGTAAACACGTGGTAAGTGTTAAAACAGTTCATTTTAAATAGTCCTGATTAAAAAAACAAGTTTAGAATTGATTGAACGCAAATATAGTTTGTCAGCCTTTAACCAGAATGGACATTATCTTAAGAAAACAAACAAAAAAAGTAGGACATTTGAGGTAAATAAGATGTCTTTGTTATTCAATTTTATATTTAGAAAAGTCAGTATAATTTAGTTTCAAATGATTTGCGGATTCATAAACTGAAGTAGCCTATTCTACATTTGTTTTCTGTCCCCTCTCAGGCTCCGTAGTCCCAAATTTTTATTTTTTTATTTGTGTTTGTGTGATGTACACCAAAGTGACCACTAGATGGTGCAATTTGAACACAATAGACTAATAGACTTTAGAATCATTTCAAGAGAGAGGCCACAAAATCTGGAACTATTGGACTAAAGCAGAAGACATTTTATGGCAATAGATACAACTTTGATAATTTAAATATTAAATTAAATGTTCACAATAAAATATGTGTATGTTTAGTAAGTTATTTATTAAAATGGACTATCTATTCAGTCAGTGGTATAGGGTTATTACAAATCTGTCTAGTTTCGCTTTTTTGTTTGTTTGTTTTCTTTCTTACCCTTTAGTTACAATATGACACACATCTAATCTGTGCACCCTACTTTTCACACACAAGCATATTAAAAAAATCTGTCTGACAGCTTTTAAAACCAGAACCACTTTCTGATGATGGCTAAGATAAGCTGCCAGCTTCTTTTGAGTCATGTTTAAACAAGGACTTCTTTCTGTCTGTTTTCAGCAGTGAGGTCCCGTCAGCATGACACCAGATAGCTTGAACCCAAAAAAGGTGGGCTGTAAAATGTAATCTAGTTGTAGTTGTCATGTAGGGTTAGTCCCCTGTTTGAGCAGTGGTTTATTTTATGCTGCCTTCAGTCGACAACTAAAACTCCAACCTGCTACATATAAGGCTGCGTTTGTCCATCATGGTGTCTTTGTGTGCCTAGATGGGTCTCAGTATCTTATTTTATTTTAATGGTTATGTTTCAATCACAAGCACGCTGCCTTGTTGAGCCTGGAGACAAATAAGAACTTCCAAGACAATAGCTGCAAATATGAGCATGAAGGAGCTCATTTGTGTTCACTCTGCCTTTTAAATGAAGTCCCTGATGCAGGAAATAATAGACCACCTTTTGTGAACATGTAAACCCCTCATTATCATCACGRCTCTTTTGATATGGTCCACATTTAAATGTTGGTGGGTCGTGCAACGTGATGGCAGAAAGAGTCTTATTATCCAGGTAACTGAACTCCTAACAGATGCAAATATTGATCCTTAGAGGGTAAAGGAGGCTGAATGAAAGTGCACAGCCTTGAAGTCACAAGTGTTTTGGCTCCAACCAGCTATCCAACATCACCTGATAGGATCACAAAACAAATCCAGGCTGGAATTAGATTTTTGTTTTCTTGCTGCAGCCCAGACTAAAACACCCAATTGTCCTGCTGGTCCACTGAGATCTGGTGTGTGTGTGTGTGTGTGTGTGTGTGTGTGTGTGTGTGTGTGTGTGTGTG